GAGTTAGGCATATAGTCCTAATCAGATCATGAAGACTTACTACATGGAGGAGCACCAGAGAACACAGGACTGCCTTAGAAAGTCTCACTACCAGGAAGTGTGTATGTTGGGGTGGGAGGGACACAGGGAAAATGGTCTTAATTACACTTACTCAATTTATTCCTACTGAATTTTCAAATGCACAGCTTTTCCCTAGCGCATAGTGAATAAGGGTAAAAAAAGGATGGACATTATAATACATGAACATAAAGAATTGGCTAGAAATATTTTGTTCCTATAGTCTGATATAGTTGATTCAGACATAATAAACATTTTTTTCAGTATAATAATGTGTAACACTTTTATAATGTGTGCATTCTCATAGTCAGCCCTGAGTTCTTATATACATCAACCCATTAATTGGTTGATTCTCATGCAAACTAAAAATGATTTTTAGGGCTAATATCTACATTTTACAAATAAGGAAACTGAGAAATAGAGAAATCAGTTGACTTTCTCATAGTCATAGAGATGGTTAAAAATGGAGACAGAATTTGAACCTAGGAAGTTTGACACCAGGTTTATATTCTCAACAACTACTCTATACTTAGTTACATATTAATATTTACACCCTGATATATCAATGTGACAACTGCTAAGATAGAATTAGAAAGGAGATATATAATCAGCCTAGGTTAGGGATTATAAGAAAGTCAAGAATAGTTCCAGAAGATAGGACATCAGGAACATTAGGTAGGCAACTAAGCAAACTTCCTGTGGATTAGGTCAATTTAAGTAGGCAGTGTGTGGAGTGTGTGTTGTATGTGGAGTATGTGGTGTGTGTGTGTGTGTGTGTGTGTGTGTGTTGGACATTAGAGTGGTATCCAGTTTTGCGTTAGCCAATTCTACATTCATTTCACTTTCTAAGGCTTATCCCATTTTCTCCATCTAACAATCACCCAATTTGATTATTAACCAAGTTTCAACTTTCAAGAACGATAGTTTTCAAAATTTAGACTTGAACCATCTTAAAAATACATATTGCTTAGGCCCTTTCTAAAACTATTAGACTCAAAATGTCTGTGGTGTATCCCATAAAAAAAATCTTATTTACTTTTCATCATTCGTTCTGTATATTTTTAATTCAGTGATCCAATGTCCATGCCACAGTTGTAGGATGCTGAGAATAAACACACAGATATCCTACTCAGAGAATGTGGCATGAGTTAAAATTCCTACAGAGTTTTATAGTTCTTACTTCAAATACAACAGGTTGGAAAGAATGTCACTTAAAACGTTATGACAAAAAAAAAATATGTGGAGAATAAAAAAAAAAAAAAACCTCACAATTTTCTTGGACCTGTCAGAAAGTTCAAATCACAGTGTGAATAATCCAAAATTTAAAGAAAGATAGATAACTCCAAAAAGAGATGGAACATGATCCTGTGCTTACTAGGGGCATGTGTCATATACTGTACAAGCCACGATAAAGAATTTGTTAATTTTTTAAAAAAATTTAATTTCTTTTCAGTGTAACAGAATTCATTGTTTATGCATCACACCCAGTGCTCCATGCAATACGTGCCCTCCATAATACCCACCACCAGGCTCCCCCAACCTCCCACCTCCCACCCCTTCAAACCCTCAGATTGTTTTTCAGAGTCCATAGCCTCTCATGGTTCATCTCCCCCTCCAATTTCCCTCAAATCCCTCTCCATCTCCCCATGTCCTCCATGTTGTTTCTTATGCTCCACAAATAAATGAAACCATATGATAATTGACTCTCTCTGCTTGATTTATTTCACTCAGCATAATCTCTTCCAGTCCCATCCAGGTTGATAAAAATGTTGGGTATTCATCCATTCTGGGGGACGCATAATACTCCATAGTGTATATGGACCACATCTTCCATACATACAAATGGCTATTAGACACATGAAAAAATGTTCATCATCACTAACCATCAGGGAAATTCAAATTAAAATCACATTGAGATACCACCTTACACCAGTTGGAATGGCCAAAATTAACAAGACAGGAAACAACATGTGGTGGAGAGGATGTGGAGAAAGGGGAACCCTCTTACACTGTTGGTGGGAATGCAAGTTGGTGCAGCCAATTTGGAGAATGGTGTGGAGATTCCTCAAGAAATTAAAACTAGAGCTTCCCTATGACCCTGCAATTGCACTACTGGGTATTTACCCCAAAGATAAAGATGTAGTGAAAAGAAGGGCCATCTGTACCCCAATGTTTATAGCAGCAATGGCCACGGTGGCCAAACTGTGGAAAGAACCAAGATGCCCTTCAATGGATGAATGAATAAGGAAGAATTTGTTAAAATTTAAACCAAGTTATTCACAGCTGAGTATAAACCTATATGAAAATACAGAATATCTGGAACTGATGTATATATGACACAAAGAGGAATTCATACTTACTCAGGTTTTTCTCCCTAGACCTAGACTGGTACTCATAAGAAAGTCTGAGTGCCGGACTAGACTTTCATCATGGACCAGGCCTGGTGGAGGGGAATAGCAGTCACTGTAAGATGGGAAGGACCCTTCACCCAGGTTCTCTTCCCTAAGGAATAAAAGCCTTCACTTGAAGGAAGAGCACAAGTGGAGACCCACTGCTGCTGAGCCAAAGGAGCGAATAAACTCTATAACCCAGGGTGAGGCAAGTTCCTTAGACATGTCCTATGGCAAGGGGCAGAATCACTGAGGACATTTCATTTTCAAGACTCAGGAACATACTACCAGCCCAAGACAGGCTAAACCAGCCCAGATGGTATTTAATGTCCTCTGGCTCTTACCACCAGATTAGCAGGGTTTGAGGAACAAGTAACAGTGCTCTACACATGAGGGATTGTGAAGAACATGAAGGGTGGCCTTACTGCAGTACAGGAACAAAGAGAAGATCTAACATTGACAGTGGGGTAGACATCAAGAAAACCTAACTCATCAGCCACAACCTGAACACAGGGTAAAGTTAGAGGAATGTGATACATTCACTGAAGACATTCAAAGCAAAAGCATGAAGAATTCAATGACCTGACTAGTCCTTTACCTATGAAATAAGTTGAATCTGTACTTAGCAACCTTCTAACACAGACTTCAGGCCCAGGTGACTACATTGGTGGATTTAGCTATTTAAAGGCTAAGTACCAATTTTCCAAAAGCTAGCCAAAACACATATAAACAGATTGAACTCTAACCAAATCATTGAAGATACAATTGAGGCCACATCATTAAAATCCACTTCATAAGTAGAATAAATAGATAGGGGATGAGTTCAGGGTCGCAACAGGGTTCCAGGAACAGCCACTTGTGCTTATAAATTATACAGCATAACTGATGGCTTCAAATTCAGATGTGATGTTAATTAATACAAACTCCCTCTAAGAATATATGATAGCATCTCTTCTATTATAATAAATATAAGTAGGATTTTTTTCTAAAGTTCATGCTATGGAATATTAGTGTTGTATTTTGGTCAAAGGAGCAATCTGAAGCCAATATCATCTTAACTTTCTTTTTTTTTTTTTTAAAGATTTTATTTATTTATTTGAGAGAGAGACAGTGAGAGCATGAGTGAGGAGAAGGGCAGAGAGAGAAGCAGACTCCCCGTGGAGCTGGGAGCCCGATGCGGGACTCGATCTTGGGACTCCGGGATCATGACCTGGGCCAAATGCAGTAGTCCAACCAACTGAGCCACCCAGGCATCCCTCATCTTAACTTTCAAATGAATATTTGTTAGTTGAAATATCTGAGAAATCCTGCAGTAAAAGTATAGCTAAAAATTTAGCTTTATTGGTCAAAATTTACAAACATATATTTCCTGACTTCTTTCTACGAATGAAGTCAATAATACCACTTAGAACTAGAAAAAACTGAGTGATATCATATGGCACAAGAGTACACATGTGCACACTTGGCTAACACTAGACTTGGAACATCACTAAAATTTCCTGCTTTCCATGAGAGAGAAAATCCTCTGTGAAGTGTCACAAGACACAGAAACATAACTGTTTGAAAAATAATTGTTTGTTTGAAAAGACAGATCAATAAACTAGACTATATAAATATTCATCCATCAAAAAGCAACACAATGCTGCTTTAAAACAAAAAAAGACTATGAATTTTAAAAGATTACAAAGTTTTTACAATTCGGTTCATGGTAGAAAATCTCTACTTTTCTCACATGATTATCATAGTCGCAGGATCAATTTCATGTCTAACAACATTAACATGGTAGAGTCAAGAATAGCATTCTTTCTGAGAGGGAGGCCAGGAATATGGGAAGTGTTTCATCATCTATTATTTTGGGAACCAACATGTTAAGGGCAATGTACTATCTTTGTTTAAATTAGGATATAAGGGAATTTATGGGTTTTATTATAATCATTCGTGTGGTGTCTTCTTTTTGGAGGGTTGGTTTTGCTTCAAAATGATGCTGACTGTAGAATGTGATGTGTCAGTTCTAACAAAAGCAGAACAAAGTGTTTTTTCTCTTCTATATGGGAAATCTGAATTATTTCCATACAATGGAAAATTATAAGACACTTTTATTCATATATTTGACATGGGTCTCGCCTTCCATTTTCTGAGTTTGGGAAGGAGGCTCACAGGTCTTCCCTGAGAGGGGTCTGCATAACTTCCAAAAGTTATTTTTCCATTCTGAACAAAGACAATCAGTGCTGCTCGTTTCCTTAATTTGATTCTTTTTTTTTTTAATTTTTTATTTTTTCAGCATAACAGTATTCATTATTTTTGCACCACACCCAGTACTCCATGCAATCCTTGCCTTCTCCAAACACCCACCACCTGGATCCCCCAACCTCCCACACCCCACCCCTTCAAAACCCTCAGATTGTTTTTCAGAGTCCATAGTCTCTCATGGTTCACCTCCCCTTCCAATTTCCCTCAACTCCCTTCTCCTCTACATCTCCCTATGCCCTCCATGCTATTTGTTATGCTCCACAAATAAGTGAAACCATATGATAATTTGATTCTTTACAAGAGTTATGTTGTTTTCTTGGAAAAGAGTTTGAGCACCTGTTCTCTAATCTGTTTAGTTCTGACCCCATAGATTACAGGGTTCAGAGCAGGTGGAATGACTACGTAGAAATTAGCCAAAAGGATGTGGATATAGCGTGGAATATTCCGGCCAAACCTGTGGGTCATAAATGAAAAAAATGCAGGAGTGTAGAAAGCCAACATGACACACACGTGAGAGCCGCAGGTGCTCAGTGCTTTGAGCCGGGCATCGTGGGAAGGCAGTCAAAAGACAGCACGAAGGATCTGGACATAGGAAATGACAATAGCTATGATGTCCAATACCAGGATAGAGATGGCACATAAACCATAGATGATGTTGACCCTGATGCTGGCACAGGACAGGCGGGCAATGCCCATGTGCTCACAGTAAGTGTGAGGAATAATTTGGTGTCCACAAAATGGTAACCGTAGAATGAGTAGAACAAAGGGTATGGCAAAAGACAAAGTTCTCAGTAGGATTATCATTGCAATGATGACTACCACCTTGTTTGTCAACACCAGTGTATACCGAAGAGAGTTACAGATGGCCACATAGCGATCATAGGCCATGGCCACAAGCACCGCCGACTCCATGCCAGTGCAGAGGTGGATAAAGAACATCTGGATGAGACATCCCTCAAAGGAGATTTCTCTCAGGTTGAACCAGAAGATGCCAAGCATCTTGGGGATGGTGGATGTGGACAGGCCCAGGTCGATAGATGACAGAATGGCCAGGAAGTAGAACATGGGCTGGTGGAGGCTGCTCTCAGTCTCAATCACAGAAAGGATGCTGATATTCCCAAGAACAGCTGTCAGGTACACAGCAAAGAAAGGGAAACCAATCCACATATGTATATGTTCCAGACCAGGGATCCCCAGAAGGAAGAAAGAGCAGGGACGAAATACGGTGGTATTAAGTGAGGCCATCTTCCTGGGATATTTTTATAGTGAAAGATATTATAGATCAAGTACCTCCCATTCACTGAATAAGCCTCCTCCTTGCTTAGCACACAGAGAAAATGAAGGAATCAGTGAAACATTTATTGTACCTACCCATCATTCAGACCTGAAGGTGTACAAAATTGAATGGTAAAATGAAGCCACGTGATTTCAGTACACATCATCATATCCATTCGATTAAATTGAATATTGTTATTCAACCAAAATTTTCTGAGTACCTAATATAGATGTGCCAAGTTCTGTGCTAAGACTGATAGCAAAAGATGAGTTAGAGAAGGTTCCTTTTTTGATGGAACTTAAAGTTTTAGTGGTTGAAACAGTTATGCAAATGAACCATTTAAATTAAGAAAATAAGTGCCAAGATAAAGTTTTTCCCTTGCTTCTTAGGTGCACAAAATATTTCCTGAAAATTATTTAGTATTTTATAGAAATATTACTTGATTTATAACTATAAGCATTATGTACAAGGTAGGAACATAAACATAAACGCAATAACAACCATTATGATTCTGCATGTATCACATTTCTGAGCTGAACATATATAATGTGTCTTCAAGGAAACGTCAAGTGCATCAAATCAGAAATTTCTAAGACAATTTTGGATCTATGTAGGCTTCTCACTGTTTAAGTCCCCAAGAAAGTTTTACATGCTGTAGTCATCTTCTGATCTCTATTTTCTTCCTGGTACCAATATCAGAGAATAAATCTGCCTTGAGGTTTTATCAAAAAGCCATACCAAACTTCATTTCAAGATAATCCTTTTAATCTGGGTCTGCTTAGAAAAATATTCACATATTCCTCTTCATTTCTGTTCTGATGGTAAGTAAATAGAGCTTTGCCCTTTAAGTGCCTTCCTGCTGATGTCTGTCCAGAAAGAAACACAGATCTACACATGGGCACAGAAACATTAATGTACAGTTTTATAAAATATCACAAAATTCACAAATATAGTAAATTAATTTATGCACACCACTCCTGGAAACTAAATCCTTCATTTATATGACTATATAAATTATTACAATATATATGCTTTAATAAATCTAAGCACATTCTCATTAAAACCTCTTGCCTTCTCTTTCTTATACATCCATATGGATAGATGATAGATAAATAAATGATAGATGATAGATAGCTAGATAGGCAAATGGAAAGACAGAGAGATGTCTGCACACAGAGAGAGAAGGTCTGGAACTCAGTAGATATAAGAATTACAATTTTAAGAAGTTACCACTAGCAGGAAAGTAGATCTAATCCATACCACTAGAAGATAAGAAGGCTATCTCCTTACTGACATGACAAGTTTGGAAGAAACTGGAGGGCTGAGGTAAATGTATTATTGTTATAGATCACCTTTGATGTACTCCACTCCCTATAGATAGGATTAGGCCTTTCCCTCGTTTCTCTGCTCAGTATTCTGTGAGACTGCTAAGTCCCATGCAAATGAGAAACAAGTGACAAACTACATTAGCCAGAGTAACTGTATTCGACATTGTGTCTGGGGATGGAAGTGTGTGTGTGTGTGTGTGTGTGTGTGTGTGTGTGTGCGTCTGTGAGTTGGAAGGGTGCATTGCAACTTGGGTCTTGGGCAAATTGCTTAAGAAATTCTAGAAAGAAGAGTTTGATCACAGGTACAGGGAGGAAACAGTTAAGATAATTAGTCAAGCAAATTAACTAATTCAAAAAAAAAATAGAAGAGGTATTTCAAGAAAGCAATATGAACTATATAGGAAACTATCCCTAATTTGAACTGGGAAGACTATATGCAAGGAAAAGCATTTAAACCCAGGGTATTTGGGTATTTGGGGATGAAGTAGAAACTTATAATCAGATTTCTTTTTCTGTGATTGTGGTTCAGCTAATTTAGAGTTTAGTAGATGAGAAATGGTGTAATGTATAGAAGCAGACATTAGGAATTAAAGTCAGAGTCTTCCTGCCGTGTGAATTTGGTTAAATTATTTCCCCTCTTTGAGTCTATGGTTCCTCACCTATGCATGAAATGAGGCTAAAATGCCTATGTAGCTGAATTCTTGCAAAGTTTACATGAGTCAAGATGGGTCATCAAAAATGTAGAGTTACAAATACTGGTAAAAACCTATTGATAAGAACACAATAAAGTAGAGAGCTATAGTGGAAGTGGTTTGCCTTATCTCAGACCTTCAGATAATCTGTACATCAGGGGTCAGCAGACTAAATACTGATCCTCAATTTACCTCCCTATATATATTTTGGTAGGGGTCCTAACATTTATAATAGAGTGTATCTGATTAAACCTATCCCTAGACATTTTAGGACATTAGCATTACACACTAGAAGACCAAATCATTCCAAAATGATTAGCACTACCTTTAGTTGGAAGACAGTAGCAAGTGGTTTGGTGTGTTTTACTATGTTGTAATTGGTGAGAGATAATTTCTGAATAGGTTAAGTTAAGTTCAATTATTATTCTCCCTCTATGTCGAAAACACACTCGGGATGGGGACATTTATCCAACCTTTAAATTAGATTAGAAGGGACTGAAGGAGAGGTAACAGTGAGCAAGAATCAGAACACAGGAAAGAAAGAACCTTGAAAGATCAGTAATTAGATAGGCTCCAGGTCAGTGAAGAGCTCTCCGCACAAAAAGAACGGCAGAGGTGTCAAAAGATGTCGGAGCTGCATGCAGAGACAGTATAAGGGAGTATTAGAAACAAAAGAATCAGTTGCTCACATGCACATAGAGATTATGCCAACACACTCCTACAGTCAGTTCCTTTATCCCCTGCCTTCAGTCAGCAAGTTTTTCTACTCCCCCCATCCTATCATCTACCACTCTTTTTCTTGTGCTCAGCTGGTTACAGATAAGGAACCATACCTCCAAAGCATTGCTTACCAGCAAGGACTCCTGGAGAAGTTAGCAAATCTCCCCTAGCAACCTTCTGAACTCCTTTTGCTTTGGTGGGAGGATTTTTTATACTGTGGCCAAGCCTCTAGAGGGGAAATTTGTCTGCATTGGGATTCCCTAAGAGGAGAGGGGGCAAGAAAGCTCTGAGATCTGGATTAACTTCTTTTCTAGTGGAATAGAATATACCAGACTCCAATAGGCAATGTCCTGATTCAGGACCTTGACTCCCAAATCTAATATTAGCATATTTTCAGTGGTATTATTATTATTATTATTATTATTATTAAATATTATTATTGTTTGGGTCTTGTAAATTTTCTTAAACATTTTTTCCAATAGGGTTCCTGGAATCAGTTTTAGGCTATTACTTTTGAACCTCTTGAAGGGAGGGGGTGGCTTGTCCAAGCTCCCATAAGCTAAAGGTTATATTAAGTCTGGGTATATCTTCTTAGTATCATGCAACTACCACATTGAGTCAATATTTATTAAAACCCAAGTGCTAAAAAGTAAAGAAGTACACTAAAATTGCATCATAATGACTCAATATTTAGCATAATTGGACTATCCTGAAGTGAGGAAATCATACAGAAACCTATCATGTCATCCCAGCAGAGGTTTCCCATCAGTAGTGGAAAGCAGGAATAAAAATCCAGAAGGCAGAGGCTAATCATTTTAATCACTCCTTTCCTGACTAGTTATTTAAAGCCATGTACGAATTGCCTTATCCTTTCAATCTCCATTTTGAAACCTGAAAAATGGGGACATTTGTCAAACGAGTTTCAGTGTCCTATAGTCCTAACATCATATGAGGATATCAACCCATTTTACCGATGAAGAGTCAGAAACAGAAAAAGAAGAGTAGTTCACACGGAGAGGTAGAGTTGAGTGTTTAAGCTTCCATTCTAGAGGGTTTTCCATGAGTAACAGGAGCTGACCTTGGACATTCAGATGGATACATCAGTTTTATCATTCACTCACTGATGAATTGAAACAACTATGCACCGACCATCTACTATGTGTCAGGCGCCATTTGAGGCACTGCCTGTAGAGTAGTAAACAGCACGGACAGTGAAAGACAAGAAACAGAATAAAAATTTACATAGATGACAAAAATGAACTGTGTTGAAATATAAGGCTGGGAAGTTGGAGAGGATGCTGATGGTGAGAGTTAGTCATTCTAAGTAACATTGTCAGGAATGTGACTTTAAGGTAAGGGTAAGGGAAGGTGGAGCAAGTCATGTGAAATCTGGAATGGGATGATGGCTGCGGGAAAGCTTTCCAGGCAGAGGGAAGAGCAAATGCAAAGACACTGAAGCTGAAGCATGTTGGGTGTCATCAAGGAAAATGCAACTTTCACAGAATCCGAGTCTCAGAGATGTGGACAACATCAAGCCCCCTCAGACTTCCACACTCTTACAAGTCAGAAAGTCATCATTCAACAGAATAAATATCAAAGGAGATCCCCATACAGTGGCTGGTAGTTAGGTAGTTCATGGCTACTCTTTCAGTCAAGAAGCCAAATTTAAATCAACTCAATTACTTGTTTTGTTTGGTTTTGTATAGCAAAACATGGCAACAGAAAAACAGAAAAAAAAATAAACATGATACCAGAGTATCAATAGTGAACTTTTCTTTTAATTGACTGATAATACATAAATATATTTGCATGCCTTCTCATTCTTTCTTCTACCAAATTACAGTAATCACTACGGGATATTTAAAGATCTCAAATACACAAAGAAAACAGAAAATGAGTGTTTTATTCCTTCAAACGGTCATCTGTCAGATTAGATGAAAAAAGAATAGCAACACAGGCACACAAAAACATGGGGGTAGGGATCTTTTTATGTCAACTCACTATTTGTATACATTGAGAAAATCTAGCAGTTTGTAGGGAGTGAGAGTTACCTGCACAAATTTGCAAATATTGCTTTAGTGCTCCCCTGGATCCAGTGCCTTTGTGGCCATGCTAATTCCAATATGATTATTATCACTGTGTAAGTGATACATTTTTACTCTTTGAAATTTTTGGAATGTGTACCTTGACTTTGATAGCAATTTGATAGTGATTAATTATTTCTGTAAG